CAAACGGGCAACTTCGTATTGTTATCATTCACTATTATATGGTCTTCGTTTTCAATCTTTTGACAAAACTTGGAAGTGGTCAAAGTGTTGGGAACAGACTGATCTGTCTCATTCTTCCTCCCCCAAAGAAACACGTAGAGGCCAGTTATAGTCACTAATGATCCAATTATGCTGCAAATTTTTTATAATCATCAGTAAAATAAAAAACATATAAGTCGAGATATATGCATGCATATATGGATCGAGTTTAGGTTATATACTAAATCATACAAAATTGAGAAATAAAAACCTGCCGAGGTATAAAGGAGAGTGTAAGATGAGGAAGTCGAATAATGTAGCAGAGACGAGACTGACTGGGCTGAATGTTGACACGAAGACTGCTCCTGTCATCTTTATTGACCATGATGTCACCACTGTCGACATTGCTTGTCCCACTATTCCCTGTATTTAATTGTTTTGCCATCAATTTATCAAATGACGTTTTAAAAATCATATAAGTAGTCAAAGGAAATCATATAATTTACTATATGAAAACGTATGAAAAATAATACAAATGAAGGTATATCTTATAAAATTTGAATTTTGCGTTTGTTATATGTTTATAATCTGCAAAAACAAAAAATATGTTTTAGGATATGATTTAAGTTCATGTTAAATTAAGCCAAGTAACATATTACTTGTTTTATTAAATATTTAATCAAACAAAGCACATGGAATTAAAATCTCTTAGAAAATTTATCTTAATAAGGCTAATTTGTTAATCATAAGAGAAAAAATGATAGGATTTGACTTTGAAAATGATTTTGTAATAAATCCAAGAACCAACTAAAAATCTAAAAGAGAGATTTTATTAGAAACATAATTTCATAAAAAAAGGGTCACAGTTTACTCAAATAGATTAATGTGCAAACTTCTAATTCCTCGTTTTATCAATATTTTGCAAACTTATCCTATAGTTCTAAACAAAATTCTCAATCATTTTATGTGTATTATGTCTACGAAACAAAAAGAACTTACAGCGTAAAGGATGACAAAGATGATGAATTTTTCATCGATGATCCAGTCTTGTACTTCTCTACTCTTATAAAGACTTAAAAAGGCACATTGAAATGCTGCGAAGACTGACATGAGACAAGTACTTGAATACTTATTGCCTGGATACTTAGCACTTAACTTTCCTTGAAACAACATCCATAGAGACAATAATATGGTCCCGATAATCAAGAAAAGACATCCAAGAAACCATCTTTTTGCTTGATCGTGACCATTGTTGTGTAATGTATTTGAGTTGTTGTGAAGAGCCTCTGGATGAGAGTGAGGGTTTGATATTTGTGGACCTTTGTAAAATGTTAAAAACATTGCTCCAATTACGCAAATTAGGGTTCCTATTAACTTGATCACACCTGCTTTGGTCTTTAAGTTTTTTGCATTTTCTATCCTGCAAGATATTTTTAAATAAAAAATACGAGAATTTTTTTTGTGAATTTTTAAAGTTTTAATGAAGAACTATATTGACCAAAAAAATTAATAAATCAAGAACTCTATAGTAGTTGCATTAAACCTGAAAATAAGGGCTAATGCGAACGTAATCGCGGGTAATGTGCTGACTAGAGCCATCGAAACAGTTGCTGACGTGTACGATAGTCCAAGCAAAAAGAAAAATTGCATCAAACTTGCCCTGCCTTATTCAAAAAAAAAAATTATATAAAAGAAATAAAGTAGACTATAGACATATACATACTACTAATTAATACATGATTACGTCTTAGACAAGTCTTCTTTTTTAGTACTATTATTTTTCTGAAAAAACAAATTAAATCATTAAAAAACAGAGGAAATAACTTAGGGTGTGAATGTTTGGTTTTGTTAGAGTCAATTTTTATTAAAAAAAAGTGTATTACTCTGAGTTACGCTATAATGTTTGTCAATCATGATACAAATGTTATCGCCAGATTAGAGTAAATACTTTTGTCTTTTTGTGATTTATAGAGTAAACTTTCCTTCCTCTTAATTTTTTGTAGCGTAAAAGTTTTACTCCAAAATTGATTTTCTCTACCCTCATTTTTATTCATTTCTCTTCCCACTCTTTTACTCTACAAGGTTACCGTTCACAGCCTTACTAAGATGAACAAGTGAAAAGGACGAACCCAAGTAATCCGCTGATGAAGTGTTCGCACAAAAGCATGAACGTTATTTTTGGTCTTGTTTTCCTATAACAAACTTACATATATAAGCATAATATAAGAACTTATAACTATTTATATTCATACACATATGAATGGATATGTATCAATATATTAATAACTTAGTTTCATCATGTCTCAATCAAAAAGAATTTATGATTCAAAATCTAAAAGATTAAAATTATTCTGAATTTTAATATATAATATTGATCAAATCGAACAACTATTTGTTACTGTAAGATTAACAACATAATTCATAATTAGTTTATATATTGACCGCATGAAAATCAAGCCATCGCGAAGTAAACATGATTAATTAGTTCGGATTTTAACATATCAAATCGTATGAAACGAGGCTGCTTTATTATTGTATGAATAAGAACATATCAAGGTTCGAAAAAAATTGGTAAGAACATATTTTAAATCCATGGTAGCTTTAAGTTTCGATGCATGAAAATCAAACCATACATATTTAGTTTAAGAAATAAGAGAACATAACCGATTAATTTTTCTTTTAAGAAAATGTTATTACTGATGGTTTTAAAATCTAAGCTTCGACATATATAAGAGTAAAAATGTTCATACGTACCTCTCCCAAATGTAAGAAAACGGAACCAAGACTAAAGCAGAAATAACCATTCTATAAGCACCAAAGATCATATGATTAACACCAACATCAAGTGCTTTCTTAACGAGAGCATTCACTGATCCCATTGCAACACTTGATATTAACATTACTATCACTGGTGCCCATTGTTCTTCCTTCATCTCTCTCTATTTTTTTATTTTTATTTTATTATCTTTTGATATTTTTTTTGTAGTGTTTGTTTTTGTAATATCGAGTGCCTTTCTTTCCGTTTGGCAACCACATGCCTTCACATCTACTTATATTTATTTTCGACCAAAAAAAAAAACATATTTATAATAAAAAGTTTGTGGGTGCTTGCCACATTGGATATTTTTTTTTTTGAAAAATTTAGGAGGTATCTTTATCTTTCTGACTTTAGGGTCCAAATGGTGACATTAAATTTGTGGGACGGGTATAAAAAATTGTGCGAAACGGTAAGGTACAAGTGCGGATCATGCGATTTGCGAAAATAATACAGTTTGTGTAAAAAAAGCGAAACGGAACAATGTTTGATTGGTGACTAAAACAAATGCGNTGTGGATATAACAATCAACAACTTAACTATTTTTTTTAGTGCTTCGTATAATAAAAAAAAATCGAAAGTAAAATTATAGTCATCCACATAATTTAGTTAACCATCCTGAATTTTTTTGATTTTTTATAAAATATTCAATTATAGAATCGCACATGAGAGGCATATAAAACACCATATAGCATGCGTTATTACTGTTGCGGACGAAGTACCCTTTTTCTTCATAGATTAGAACCGCATTTCAAATTTTTCTTTTTTATAATTTTTTAATTGAAACTAAATAAAAAAGCACCACATTATAAAGCATGGTTGATTGGAAACACAAATATTGGGTTCGCAAAAACCATTCTGCAATGGTAAAAAACACGCTCCCCAATCACAGCCTTACTTAATTTCATTTATAACTTTTATGTTTGGTATATAATATTTTATGACTTTCTCTAGTGTTTATAAAAAATATATACATTTGATTGTTAAATTATGTCGAAGATATTTTAGTTGGTGGTGGTCGATCATTTTCTAAGACATCTTTAAATCAATTTGGGATTGAAACTCGGTTGTATATACATGCAGTTTAAATAAGATACCAAAAAAGTCATTAACTTCTACTTTTATCAGAAACACAGAAAGATATATAAATCCGAACCTAACATTTGATTTAAATTATTCATATTTCTAAGAAAAAAGTGAAGGGACATGTTGACAACAAAAAAAAAAAAAGTTAAGTGATGTTTATCAGTTTGGTTTGAAAACTATTCATATTTCCAAATAACTCAGTATATATTTAATTGATATTTTTAACTTTCAATGGAATATATATATATATATCAATCAAAAATGTCAAGTTGGTTTCACAGAGTGTGATCCACGTCAACTTTAAATTTTCAGTTATTCATTTGTTATTTTAAATCTATTAATAATTTAAAGCATGGGAAAAAAACAGTAAATTGTATAACACAATGTAGTAAAACTAAGAGATATCATATCTTTATTCGATTTGATATTTTTCACAATTTTAAATGTCGGAATGATCTCATAGAGATAATTAGGTCTATACAACAATACACTTCAGAAATTTGAGAAGGCATTTAGTTAATGCTCTCAAGATGGAACTGATTATTTGGTGAAAAACAAATTTCCGCATTATACGTAATGCGAGACACACACTTTGCTTCTCACATTTTGTTCGTGTCATCTACTTTACATTTTTTAATTAACCCTAAGCCATTTTCTTTAATTAATTGTTTATGTTTGTTTCATCAATCAGCACATAGTATTAGACTTTTAGTATCAGAAATAGAAAGAAAAGAATTGAACAATGAATTAACCCATCACTTGTCCTTATTAGTTAGCTTAAAAATTCTGATAGAAGAACAGAATTTTGGTTTATATATAATAAAAACTGTCAACTATATATTTACAACAAAGTATTTCAGTATTAACTAATTAATTTTTTGGAAACGGAATGTTTTTGGATATTTATAATTATAATGTCCTTTTTTTTGTGAATTGTGTTATTATTGAATAAGAATTCAGTCTAAAATATCTTAGCATATCATGTTGTATATTGCGTGCCAAGCTTCATTTTACATGGAAAAGGAAACAAAAAGTGTGATAAAAAAGATCATATATAAAGGTTAGAAACTCTACTACGACAAGTTTTTTTTAAATATATATTTTCTTTCATTCCCGCTTTATTTAGTGATTTATTTGATATTGATGATGTCTACAGCTACATCAAACTTAACAAATGTTACACTACAAATAATTTTTCATTTAATTTATAAGAAATATACATGTATATTTTGTTAAATTCAAGTCAAATTATGATTATTTTTGTTGTCCAGCAATAATTTTTATCACCTTATGCGAATTTGAATTCTAATGTTAACGCATCGACGGCACTAAAACAAACTATTATAGTATACA